CTATAGTATTATTATATAGTTACTATAGTACAACTTACTATGTATTTTATATAGTGATGAAATCTTTTTTTCCTTTAAACATATAAAAATTTTATATAGTTGCGAATTTTAAAAGTTAAATATCTTATATAATATACTTGTTCAATTTTAATAATTTTATTATATTATATATAAAAACATCTTCTCTACATTTTTATTTAGAAATCAAAATATATTAGCATAATAAAAAAATATTTAGCTATAGAGGAAAAGAAAATTTCATAATATATAAATTTAATAGTAATTTGTATATATAGAATTCTATTTTTCTTAAGCGAATCGGCAATTAATTTTTTTATTAAATAGTAAGATCAAAAAATCAAATAATAAAAAGTTCTCAGATACTAATAAAATTTTTAAAATAAGTATATTTTATTTTTCTGAATAAGTTTACTTAAGTGACTTTAATCAATTCACATAGTAAAATTTGGATTTTACTATATAGTTACTGTAAGTCAAAAACATTTTTAAGTTTTTTTAATATTATAAAAGATAAACTTTGATTGGTCAATAGTTCTATCACAAGAAAGAAAGAGGTCAACCCTAATTATGTAATTTACTGCACTTCTCTTACTAAAGTATAGATGAATATCTGTATAAGACAGGTACTATTATAAAATTCAAACACGTATATCCCCAGACAGTGTACTTCTTGCCAATTTTAAAAGTCAGTAGGTGATTTATACCTGGGTTATACATAAGGACAAAATTATTTCAGGTTCTAAAACCCGAAATTAAAATTTAAAGACGAAATTGTTTTTGATCTATTTTACTTGAAAGATGAAATTATTTGATACTTTTTTTGAATAGCCGAAATTATAAGGAACATATCTATATAAATTTTATTTGCTCTTCCTTAGGGCAGTGTCATTAATCACCTGATTATTTTTTATCAGAGGCCTACCCCCCTTCCTCTTCCTTAATATATAAATAGTTAGGTTCTTATATATAATTTTAACTTTTTTTACCCCCCTCCCCCCTAAAAAATCACCTGATTTTTGTTACTCCCCTTATAAAAAATTTTAATTTTCTCTAATGAAGACGAAATAGGCCTTTTTCAAAAATCAATTTCGGTAGCATCACTAAGAGAAGTGCCGTTTATTACGTAATTTATTTTTATTAGAAGGTCATACCCCTCCTCCCGTGATCTAATTAACAGCTAATAATAATTTTTATATATAATATATAGACGTAATAGACTGCTAACCCCCCTCCCCCTCTTGAAATTACGTAATAAACGGCACTTCCCTAATCTAGGTATATAGGTTTTATATATACTATATGTATTATCCCAAATAGATATTAAAACATATTGTTTTAATATAGCGTACTTCCTATATAAAGGTACCCTGAATACAAAATTGAGTAATAGAAATACTCGGGATACACGTATCTAGATTTTACAGTATTCTACCAAGTTTGCTATTGAGAATAAGTTAAACTATTCTTGTACCTTTAGATATAAAAAGAAGTTCTAAGATATGAACTATAAAGGACCAAAAAATTGCAAATTTATCTTGGTTTGAAATTCCTTTGTTCTAAAAACAAAACAAGAAAAGCCCAATTTAGTAAAAAAAGCATTAAAGAAAAAACATGTGATTTTTGCACAAAACTGTACAGTATGCAAACTATATCTAGAACCTTATACAGTATTGGGCTTCATTCTCATATTATTGTCTTGAAACCTTTTTTCTTATCAGACAATATAGACAAATATAAAAAATAGTACAAACAAAATAAAAACAAGAATGCTTACTATTGGAAGCATATTATTTTTTTAATAAAATGAGTATAGGAGTAAGTAAACAATTCTACAAGTTTGAATACAGTCGGACCTCTATAAATGCAACCTCCATAAATGCAATACCTCCCTAAATGCTCGTTTTTTTCTATTTTGTAAAATGTTATTAGTGCTAAATGCATGTTCTTTTGAATAACATTTTATATTACACTAACCTCCCTAAATGCATGTAGCCAATCAAATTTTAGTATTTAAGATAGGCTATACAGTTTTGGTAGAAGTTATACAAACTTGATAATCTAATTTTTAAAGCTGCAATTTAATTGGCTCTTTATAAATGCAAACCTCTCTAAATGCACGTTGTAGACTTGTCCCTACAAGTTGCATTTATGGAGGGTTGACTATATAACATTGTATAGATAAAAGATACAAACATAGGTGTTTGCAACTAAATTTTAGAAATAAAAGGTTTCAATAATAGTTTGATAATATTATATTAATACTATTAAAGATTTACTAAAATTCCATAGTTTTTTTTGATAATTACAAAGGTCCCAAGCAAAAAATTAATAAAAAACTTTATATCAAGGTTTTAGACAACTACTTTATATTATTTATAGCTACTGCTTGTTTGTTACTCAACTTTTATTTAATTTTTTAGCATAATAATACACCTGTTCATAAGATATAGATTGGTTTAAATTGAAAAATTTATTAAATAAATTGGCCTTTATAATCCCTAATCTTAACCCTATAAAAAACATTTAGAAAATTATAAATAACTATATTTAAAACTATAAAGACTTTTCAAAGAATAAACCTGTGCTTAAAAGTAAAGTAAATGTAAATTATTTTTAATAGTAATTATATTGTAATTATATAAAATTATATAAATAACCAATCAGAATTGTAAACAACTTAGATTTAACCAATTAGGATTAGCAATTTTGTGCTATTTAAGTAAATTTAAGTCTATTTAAGTTTTTTATTAATAATAAATAAATATAGATTTTTTCAAATATTATAAGTTCTAAAATTTTATAATTATAAAAATAGGAGCTCATTTTATATAATACCAAATTTTTGTTAAAATTAATTACAATTCTAAAAAGTTTAATTAAAGACATGTTTTTGATATATATATAAAATTTTATAGTGCCACATAGATTATATGAAAATTGATTTATATTTACTCTATTCTTAAAGTGGCTCTAATCAAATTTGGATATATTAGTTCTTTATATAGTTTTAGAGGACCTCTGAATAATCTATATGAGGTTGTATTTGAGCATTATAGTAAAAATTTTTTGGTTAGCACTTTTGGTTTGGTATATATAAGCTACATTTTAAACATTAGATCGAACTTACCTATCTTTAACTTTTTTTCTAAAAAAAAATAAAAAATAAAAAACAGAACATTTTCTAAAAAAAAAAAAAAA